TTTCACATCAATATGGGCACATTGTCAGTGCACATCATACAATATTTTCATTATTTTCCTTTTGGAAACAAAAAAAAAATTAAGCAATTGGATTTGGAATGTGGGATAGAGAGCTTTATTTTAAATCGTCAGTGCAAATCATACTATAATCCTTCATTCTCTATATTCCACGTAAGTACGAAACGGATTATTCTTATTTGACAATTTAGATTTAACTCAAGTGCTAAAAATGAGATAAGAATTGAATAAAAATTTTATTATATAAATAAAACTCTACCTTATGCCTTTTTGAAAAAAAAAAATTTACTCTAACTTAAAGCAATAAGTGTATGATAATACTATAAAAACAAATATAGAGAAACAATGGGAAGTAGGAAAGCTGAGTAATATAATATAAAAGGAAGAAAAGGACAAAAAAAAAAGGCCATGAAACGTGTAATGCTGCATTGGTGAGAAACTCCAGGGCGTTTGGAGTTCGGGACCCGGGACAGAGATTTCGATGACCACTCTTTTGGGATATGAATACAGAGCATGGGTCCCCATCATGTAAACCCATGCCACTAGGCACTACGTGGCTAGAAAATTGCTTTGGACCTTCTATTTAATAAAAAGAAGGAAACTTTTTTTCGGTCAGGAAAATTGGGTGGTGTTCATAGCATAAGAAATTTGAACCGTAAACCAAAAAGATTCTCCAGAGGATCTTTTATAACAATTTGTGATGATTAACGTTTGGAAGAGGAGATCGACAAATTACAGGTGCTTTTGTGTGACTATTAATAATTGTTAATGTGCAATTTGAAAACTTGTACTTTAACATTAAAATATGTTATTTTTTTAAGCACAAAGATTAAATTAAGTAATTATTATAAAGCAATTGAAGACACTAAATCTCTTTGCCGTAAAAGCTTAAACAAGAATATACATTGAAGATACAAATTAAATGTAATTTAAATGGATTAAGTAGGTTTAACACAATTAAAATGAATATTGTTTTATGATGAAGTACATAAAATTGAAAAACATAAATTTAGGTGTATAATGTCATATTTATAATTTTATTGCGTGAAATTAGTAAGAAATCAAATGGAACTTTATTGTTTGTCACAGTTTCATCATTTTTTTCAATTCAATTTATTAATTTTCAATGTCAAAAAAGTCAAAATTTCATACGGCTTTTATTTTTTTATGATGCCGTAAAATACTTTTATAATACTCACCTCTTACAAGAAATAGGGAACAAGGAGAGCTCCTCTGCCCTCATCTCTTTGAACTCTCCTTTTCGCCTCAGCCGACCTCTCTCGCTTAACCATGGTTCCAAATTCAATCAATCGTTTTAGCCCTGCAATTAAATAATAGCAAAGCCCACCAATCGAGGCTCCATGTGTCATGTCCTCTCCAAATGGACTGCATCATACCTGAACACAACCCTCCTTCACTCCTCACTATAAATACCCCACCAGCCCTTGGGCCCTTCCCAGAAGTATTTCTCTCCTTTCTCAGCTCTGCTTAATTAGCAAACCCCAAGCATTCTGCAATTAATTCCTTTTCACCTCTATATCAAACAATGTCCCTCCCTGTAACACAAGGGAAAACCCTCCCTGATGCCTGGGACTACAGGGGCCGCCCCGCCGAGCGGTCAAAGTCCGGTGGCTGGACCAGTGCCGCCATGATTCTAGGTGTTGAGGGATGTGAGAGGCTAACAACGTTAGGTATCGCTGTTAATTTGGTAACGTATTTGACGGGCACCATGCATTTGGGCAATGCTACATCGGCCACCACCGTTACCAACTTCCTTGGAACCTCCTTCATGCTCTGTCTCCTAGGTGGTTTTATCGCAGACACTTTTCTTGGCAGGTTTGGGCCTCCTTCTCCAACTCTAATCAAATGCTTGGTAGTAGTTTCTCATGCGAACCTCAGTCAAGCTATTACTACCGTTTATCTTCTTTTCAATTCGCTCCTTATTCTATTGACAGATATCTCACGATTGGAATCTTCGCCATCGTTCAGGCAACTGTAAGATTCATTTCCTTTGATTGGACCATCATCTTACTTTACATATATACCCCAATTGAAGAAATTAGTATCTTATAAAGTGCACGTTAACATTAGTTCTTCTGTTTTTTTTTCCCACATTCCTTGTATAGTATCATAGTTTCCAATCTTAATTGTAAAGCTAAAGTTCAATTGGTTTTCATTTTTGATTATGTTGGGGAGCAGGGCGTCACCATCTTGACAATCTCAACAGTAATCCCGAGCCTGAGGCCCCCTAAGTGCAGCATGGACAACCCCACAACTTGCACCCAAGCAAGCGGCATACAACTCATTATTCTCTACTTAGCCCTGTACCTGACCGCCCTTGGCACCGGGGGTCTCAAATCAAGCGTTTCGGGTTTTGGGTCAGACCAATTCGATGACTCAGACCCTGAAGAGAGATCCCAGATGACAAGCTTCTTCAACTGGTTCTTCTTCTTCATAAACATTGGTTCACTCTGTTCGGTCACCATTCTGGTGTACATCCAGGACAATTTAGGGCGTGAATGGGGCTACGGTATTTGTGCTTGTGCTATCGTGATAGGGCTGGTCGTGTTTCTATCGGGAACCAGGCGATACCGTTTCAAGAAATTGGTGGGGAGCCCCTTGACCCAAATTGCCGCAGTGTTTGTTTCTGCCTGGAAAAAGAGGCATTTGG